CATAGAGATGAAACTAACTCAAAGATTGAAATTTTCAACCGAATCCAGAATTAGTTCCTCTGAGGATCCAAACACGTGATTAAAAAAGGTATCCGCGGTTATCACGGGTCTAAGTAACGTTAGAGATAACGCGGTCGAACAATTTTTCAAGGTGACTAACCAAAAATATGAAACAGCCAAACTGCATCATGATTTGAAGCTCAGAAACTATCAATTCTTCTGCTCTTAAAACTCGCTGTTTCGTGACGCGCTGAACTGACCAGGTCACGATAAGGGGCGATTTACTAAATAGGGAAAGTTTCGAAGGCTCTCAAAATTACTTTCCGCGGAGCGATTGAATTTCGTCATCCTGATCCAAAAGCATGGGACAATTTTATGCTTGTTTCTCCACACGTCGCTTCTCCTTAATGAATTTAGCATTGTGGATGCTCAAAAAAATTTCAACGTAAACTATCAAACTTTTCTCTTGTAAAATAAAAACAGAACGCTCGCGTCCACGCGAAAAAGCGTTTCGGGAAGTTCGGTCAGGTAGATTCAAATTCCCACAATATGCCACTCAACGCGATTCCTTGACGTCGGCAGCCTCTTCGCCAGAAATCGACATGGCATTCCACTTGGATCCTTCGAACTGCTTCAAATGAAGCTGAGAAAAAAGGCGTTCAACGAGAAAAAATAAGCCTAAATTGACGGAATAAAATAATTTTTTGTTGTACTGACCATTATGTGCATATTAACCTCATCGGAACGACTGAGGTACGGAAAATTACCACCGCTTTTCAAATGCGCACGTTTCGCATGTGGGAACGAACGCAACAATTCTTCTCGCACGGGAGGAGCCAATGCGTACCTTTAGAAAATGGGATCAACATTTTCAAAAACGGTAGAAAAAGCTCATGCTATAGATTCCGCAATTTTACAAAAATATATATTTAAAGGCAACTATTTTGGTCATCATACAAAAACACAGTTACACATCGAACTCCTTCAACTCCTCGTGATCGTATTTGCATCTACTGAATGGATCAAAATTATTTCAAACGAAGTTTCGCTCCTCGGAATTTGTTTCTACATAGATGTACTAGCGCAATAAAATTAATTTCAGGCGATTATTATGTCATCGTTCCGTCATGATTTAATACGTTTTCCAAGTATGACTCACTATTTTGAATGATTTTGGATTTTTCCGTTATATCAAATTATAAAAAGTTCGTGGATCCTTATTTAAATACTGCTGTTATTTGCTCATACAGTACTTTTTACATTTCTATGGCAAACAAAGTTCGCCACTTTTTGAAACATTATACAGTAAGAGCAGTAGTTTAATTAGGCAATTTATTTTTTTAACGAATACATATTAAGAAATTTAAAAGATGACTTCACATTCTTATTTGTGTCCGATAAGATTAAAAGTTTCAAGATCACATCATTCACCGAATCGTTTCGAACGAAGTTCTTCTAATTTCAAGAGTATATTTTTTTCTGTTCTTCAAACTTCTTTTTTTTCGGGTGATAACGCTGTACATTAGGGCGTCAGGAAAAATTACTCACGGATCCCAAACATCGATCAAAGTGATCGGGATTTCGCGTAAATGCTGAGGCATCACGTAAGTGGGCGAACAGTTGAGGGTAAGCCTAGAAGCCAGTTGACTTTGCGTCATTTCTTCTAGCTATTCGATTCAAAGCGAAAAATAAAGAAAATGAAAATTCAGGTAATTTTTCACAGAGACTCTTCGCAAGAATTTTAAAAAAGTTGATCTCACCCGTGAGACCATGAAATCGACTGATTCAACAATGTCACGATCTTTGCTCCCCACTGGCATGTTTCCAAGCACCATACGCTTCAGAAACATAGAAGGTAGCAGCCAAAAACT